TATATATATATATATATATAGATTCAATAAGACTTGATGAAACCTTAGTGCCTCACGATGTCAGTCATGTCTTCCAGACAAAAATAAATGCATTTGAAAACGAAGATTCTCTATCACTCACTTCCAGATTGGAGTACATCTTTGGAAACTCTAAGTTTCGCGAATTGCATACAAATAGAAGATTGAGACTAGGGAGAAGTAGCAAACAGAGATCAGTATTATTCAAAGCACAGTATGGTATTAGGTAGAAGAAACTTACCTGTATCGATCTCAATTTTCAAGTGGATCATAGCGGTACTAGCCCGGTTTACAGGCACGCGCAGTTGAGCTTCTTCGTCTCCCATGGTAACGAGCTCATCGAACCAGATCTTCGAGTCAGATTCATATGTATTCATCGTGGGGCACTCGGTGATAGTAACACCACAGCTACCAAAATCTTTCATTTTAACCGAAAATCCAAGATCAGCCCTACAGTTTGGTAAAATATCTATGAAAGGTGCAAGAATCTTCCCACCCGCATAGTCGCAATCGTCGAACATTATTTCTGTTAACACTCGCGTGTTGAACAGCTCACCTATGGACCCTACCACATTCAAACCACCGTCTGTAATACCCATCTTCATTGTGCCAGCGGTATTTGTTGTGACGGGAGGGAAGAGCTCATAGCTGAACTCGGCTGTCAGTGCGATAGGCTCCTTCAACCCACACTCTGCACCCGCACTATCCCGTAAAAAAACATCCTCCATCTGGAACTCAGTGACATTGTTTATTGCGAAAATAACAGGTGTGAGTGCCTCGACTATCCCCTGAGAGGTAGCATCCTCCGATCGAATTGTCAATGCCTTGTCTATTTGCACCGCACTTTCCAATACATACACTCCACCCGCAGCGAATATGAGCACGTCACCTTCATTGGCACTATGATCGCATCTCTGAGCGTGTTTGTTCCCGCTGTCACGGGCGTCTCTGCTGCGGCCACACATGCCATCAAGGCAGTTAGCGCTGCCCCCACTCGTAAAGACATTCTTTTTTAAAATATTATCTGGAAAAACTCCACTTCCGCTTCGTACAAGAAGAGTGTGAGGCGACTGGCGACAGCCTTACATTATTTTGAGTATTTACCATTTTAAATAGATGCACCATCAGACGTTATACTTTGTCTTTTTTTTTTTGGTGTTAAAAACAAAAATTACAAAACAACAACAATAATAATTTGGGTTTAAAATAAATAAATACATATTTGCATATGTAGGCGTGCAAAAATATATATATTTGTTTTGTTTAGAAAAAAAACAAACTATGCATACTACAAGAAGGGCTATGAAGTTATGAACTACGTAGCCTTCTAAATTATACAAACTACGGATTTGTTTTAAAACAATCCATTTTTTACAAAACATATAAATATCAGTAAAACAAAACAATAAAAATGTGAGCAGGGCAAGGCGGCAGCAAGCCAAACAGGTCCAGCCACACATGTGAGAGCAAGCCACTGAGTCAGCACTCAGCACTCTCGGCAGACAGCAGGTGACAGCCACAAGTCTCAGGCCCTCAGGCCTCAGGTTCCATTATTCAAAATTTGTTGTCCTTTTTTGTATTTTTATAAATATTTGAACGAGATGTGCATATTTAGATGTATTTAAATGCATACCAGTTACCATCATTATAAAAAAATACCATACCCTGGTGACTGGTCAGTTGTTTTTGAAGAAACAAAACAAAAACAAAAAGATTTGTTTTTTGTTTAAAGAAAAACAAATAATGAAGTTTTTTGTTTGCTATAAAATTATATATTGTGTACTGTGTAGGTATGTACATACTTGCATGTGTTTAAAAAAACAATAAAAAAGAACTCTTCGTCGTGTATTTATCTTGACTTCATGAGCTCTTGATTTCACAGATTCAGAGATTCAGAGCCCATTTTGCTTTTAAAGCTGAAACCTAAGTGAACAGAGAGTCACCAGTACCATAATCTATATATTATTTGATTAATGTTAAACAATTGCTCTTTAATTCCAAGAAAAGTTCTATCAGAAAGAAAGCTCCAAGTTTTTCTACTCCAATTTGATGAAAGAAGGCGGCAGAGGTCAGATAGCCAGAGACGACTGGCCGAGTGGGCGTGCGACATGAATGTATGGGGTAATATGTATATATATTGTTTTTTTTAAGAAAGCAACTAAATAGCTTTACTAGAGAGTCCGAAATGATCTAAATTAAACAAAAAAGCAACGAACAAAAAATATCAGCGATAAAAGTGCATATTTTTCTTCTTCGTTTGTTTTGTTTTTGTTTGTTAAATTTTCTGTCTATGTAACAAAAACAAATGTCGGATTCGTGTCTCACCACTGCATCTAGTTTGTCGTCTGTAATGTGTATTTCGAAGCTCATGGAGTGTTTGCCGTAGGGTACTGTGCAGCTCTTTAGCGTAGTAGCTACATGTTGCATCATTGAATTTTGGTATAGAAGCATAGCTGGGCAATTTATTTATCTGATAGAGCTTAACACATAGCAGTAAGCAAGAACAGTGCTTCGCAATATACCACCATATTGAGGATTTAGTAATACGTCTCACACCGTCACGAAGGAGCGGTATATGCATAATCTTTCAATCACACAATACGACGTGACAAAACTATAACTAAGCCGCTGCGTATAGATTTTCTTTTACGGCTTCTCCAGATAGAAAAGGTGCCATCGTTGTCTTGCCAAACAATAATCATTTATTGTGCAGGCAGCCATTAGGCAGGCGATCAATTCTAATGTACAGATAATGATTAATAGGCTGACACAGTCGACCTATATATTCTCTTTGAAGTGCTGCAGTATACTCTGCCGTATTCTTCACCAGATTATTTGTAAACAAAAATAAATTTATCTACTTCAATCCATGCGATAGCTTGAGTTTGCTAGCCCATAAACTTTTGTTGAGTAACCGGTCCTGGTTGACGCAGTGTATGAGGTCAGTCATGGTCATCTTACGTTTCTGGTGTATCATTCCCGACCGCCGGTGTATCAGCGTACGCTCACCCTGACGAGTACAATTGGAAAAAGTTGTATGAGAGTGGTATTAGAAATGATATAGTAAGAGCTATGAAGTGTGCACAGATCTAGATACCTACTAAGTATATGCCTAGATATGCGTAAGAGAGGATCTGTAGATGCAAACTCATCACCGTTACTCCATTTGGGGTGCTTAGTTGCCACTCCACGCATTCTCAAACGTACGTGCTCATTAACTATCACCGAATATGTTCGGATCGTATTCAGCACCGTTTGAACGATACCATAAAAAGCCAGACACGCCACTAGGTACTAGCATTCTACCATCTTCAAAGCTCACATTCGCGAAGAAACCGTTCTAGGAGCTGAAAAACGGGGTAGTTATTTCATAAAAAGATACATTTATACCAACATACCCCTGCGCCTCCGCCTATATTGATCTTGCCTTGCAGTTCTTTCATCTCTCGCACCTCTACTTTGGTGAGTGCCCCTTTCACTGATTTGGCTTGCAACGTTTGGTATCGATGGTGAGCAGCAGTGAAGTCAGTGTGATCATTATCCTGGTAGTAAAAATATGGGATCGCAAGACGTTAGAAACGTAATTGTTGTCCTTTGAAAACGGGATCGCCGGAATATAAAAAAGCGGTCTTGGGCAGAAAACGTGGTTGCAACGTACATGCGAGGTAGCTACCTGCATATTTGGACAATATTTGGGGGAATTGTAATGAATGTGCGTATTGGCCATTCATGATCTAAAAGTCAACTAAACAGCACAAATTCTGCAAGGAAAGTATTTTAAGGTGTAGTATCACGCTCCGCAATTCAGCGAACCTTTTGATGCCCGCAATATGACGAGCCAGCTTGCGACTGGATATACAGCATTGCTACATACCTCATCCATATTTCCGTCCGCGTCGAGACCCTATAAAGTGATAAATAAAGTTTACAGCGATCAGAAATACTCAATTGTTGATCAAAGCACTCTAACCACATACAAGCCCGAGGTAGCAGGTGTAGCTGGATCGACCGCAACTGAGTCCATCCCGAGCAGACTCTGGGGTGCATTCCACAGCCAGGAGATGCACACACACACACACACGTATCAAATCACAAAACCGTTATACATCACAAGCACACAAATAACATACTATTCACAACCATATCCACACATACACTTAATATAAATATATAGATAACGATGCAACAAACAGGCCCGGACTAGAGCTAGGGCTTGTTACAACAAATTACACCTGCAAACCAAAAACTAGTACACACCACATACATATACCTACACATACATGTGCTCCTATAAACATGCAAACATATATACATATACATACCGGAGTACCATACAGGCCCGGACTGGCAGGCGTGCCTGGGTCTACGACCACAGACTCTATTCTGCCCAGTGCATTACCAGGTGTGTCTGGGGCAGGCCCAGGGGTGGCTGGTTGGTGGTTAATAAGCGTGGGTGCTCTCTTTTTCTTCTTCTTATTGAACATACCGCCAATTTGCAACAAGGCAGTGGTATTCGCGGCCACTGAGAGTGTGCGTGTAGAGAGTTTTGAGAATGCGACATCATGGCAGAGTTGGGTATACGACATTAATGCGGGAGATCACCAACTTAATGCAGAGTTTCCGACGTCTGGAATTAGATCACGACAAACAAGTGAAGGGCCTCGCCATGTTATACCAAGGTGGTGGTCTTCGTGGCCAATGTGAGTGTGCGTGTGTAAAGTTTTGTTACGACAATAGTGCAGATTTTCAACATTTAAATAAAAATTTACGATGATTATGTGAAATTCGCGAAGGTTCTATCTTACTTCACTGCACTATAAATAATAACAGAAGCGTCTAAACTGCACAGAAATACACACCAAGTATTAATGTGGACTACGTTTGAAAATGATACTGAACGTTTTCAAATTACGAGAGGCGTTGAAAATGAAACAATAAGGACTTTACTTACTGTGACGCTGGGTTGCATCTTTCTCTTCTCGTTGCTAATTCAGATGTGTATATAGACAGAAAAATAAATACATATGAGTACGTAAGAAACCTGATTACATACCAATGTTAGTTGTAAATACAAGAATATAACCATATGAATGCACTTGTCAAGCTGTTTAAAGCCGGTGGAGGTCACTAGCAATTTCAGTGACAAAGTACTGCGGCGCTATAGCCAGGCGACAGCAGCAGCAGCAGACAGAAACCAGTGAACGAGTGTATATTCGAGTACACAGTAGAAGCTGCATGTGCTCTTATCGTGATCTTATGTATTTATACCTGATATGTGACAATATCATAAAACCTTAAAACTCCGCGATTATATATATATATATATATATATATACACACATATATATATATATACATATATATATATACATATATATATATATGTAAATATATATATATTAATATATA